AGATTCCAGTGCATTTCCAGTGTTAGTACAAGCTGGATTCTGATTCACTTGAAGGCAACAGAAAATTCAGACACGAAATTTAGTGGTGATTGTCCTTGATGTGATGAAAGACAATTGGAATTAAAGGCTACTCAGGAAGCCAGGACCAGGAGGACGTTACAGGGCAAAGGAGGAGACGGGGGCTTAGCCACTTAGGTTTTCAAATCTTGAGAGTTAGAGAAGTATGTATTTCTGAAACTTCAGAAATGGGTTGAAAAAATACATGATGCTTGTCAATACAGAGAGGATTCTGAACGATAGCTGGGACTGACACAGGGTACCATTTCTTTGCCAAAAGGCCATAAGTTGTCCTGAAATGAAACACTGTCCACCAGTGCAATTTCAGTGTGAACTGGTTGAAACCACCTCAGTGAATTCTTTTTGGAATGGGGCTGTTTTTCTCTAAAACCTATCCGCGGGCATGGTGTGGCCTGTCCCCTGCTCCCGTCCTGCGGACACCGGGGGGGCCGGCCCATACCCCAGGTTGGCCTCCATTTCCTGCTCAAGGTCCCCTGAGATGGTGACGGTGGCGACCCCAGGAATAACCAACATCAACATTAACATCGGAGTCTGCTAACTGTCTTCCCGCCCTTTTCTCGCTTAAGCCTCACAGTGACCGAGTTATATCAGAAGGAAAAAAGAGCAGAGAAGGCTAGGGTTTCCCCCAAGACCACACAGCTGGGAAGTGGCAGGCTGTCTTCAGTGCTTGCTGATGCTCGCCACCCTGGGTGCTGGGAGAAGGCAGGGGCTGGGGGCTGGGGCGGGGTGGGGGGCGCGCAGGCAGCTCGGAGCTGCAGCCCCGCGCCCTTAACATGAGAGGATCATAGATGTACCTGGTGAGAGACACAAAGGCCGCCAGGGTTAGTCTCCCACCCTGGCTCCTCTCCTTCCATCCACTTTCTAGAGCAAACTGTTCCCAAGTCCCAGTCATCTTTCCAGAGAGAGGCTCTCCACCTTCTGCACATGTGTGTGTGCGTACGTGTGCCAGTGAACACACACGGCGGAGCACACCTGTCTTGCCCAGAACAGTGTAACTTGGAGGTTGCTTTGCACCTCTGTGTGTGAGTCTGCCTCATTGAAACAGCTGCGCCCTGTGGGCGTAGAAGGGTTCATTTCCTGCCCGGGGTGACATCTGGGCGGGGAAGGCCTCGTCTCTGGGCTTTATGGAAGGCGGGCCCACACTGGGGGTGGGGGTACCACTGAGGTGGATGGTGAGGGGGGGCTCCCGAGATGCAGATGAGGTCCCCCCCACTGGGGGTCCCTGGGAGGCCGCGTGGCCCCCTTTCTCCAACAGAGATGCCCCCAGAGGTCTTGTTGAGTCTCTGACTTCTGTTACCCGCCGTCTCTGGAGCTGCAAGCCCCCAGTCTTTCAGCCTTCAACAATCTCGAAAAAACATTCCCAAAGACCGAGAGGCCTTAGGACTGTCCCCGCAGACTCCAGGGCTCCATCGGATTTCTTCTGGGCTCCCTTCGGGGGTTCCATGGTGCTGTCTGGACCTCTGAAGTCAGTAGGTCAATTATGCTGGTGGCTGGTTGGAAAATTCCACAGAAACATGTTCAAGATGCCTTAGAAATATGAATTTTTCATTAAACTATTTGAGTCCGGATCAGACTCAACCCCATAGTGTCGTGGTTTGCTTAACGACTGCAGAGTATTGTCTCATCTGAGGAGAAGCAGGACGTTTTAAGACCGCAGAGTCCAGAATTAACAGCTTGGAATTCTCGCCCATGCTGGCTGTTAATTGACTCCAGCTATTAAAGGGAAAGAGACTTTGGCAAACCCTAAGGCACTTGTACAAGCAAAGCCGTGGACGTGTTCAAATCGTTTTAAAACAGGCATCTGGCGAACGGATCATGTTCGGAAAACGAGCTGGTTGATCAGAAGGTCTGCACAAGTGCCTGTGCTTCTGAATGAAGGGTCTGAAAATGGTTCCACTTCACGGCAAAGCCAGGCCTCTAACACCATCTGTGAGCGTCACAGCAATCGGCAACAACCAGGCGGAACTTCAGCCTCCTCGGGACGTCCGCAGAGGCCCGGTCACCACCTCGGTGCTGCGGGGCTCCAGTGCCCGCAGCCCGTCTGCCCAGGGCGCAGTGGCCCAGGAGTACACTGCTGGGCTGAGGTCATCACTGCCTCCCGGTGCGGGGAGGAGGATGAGGCGTGGGCGAGGAGGGGGCATGCACATGCAGGGCGCAGCTGGTCCCTGTTACCATTTATCTGAGCCCCCCCAAATGCTCTGGGTGGTGGGCACAGCAATGCTGACTTAGGACGCTCCTGGCTGGGCCATTTAAAAATAGCTCATGAGAACTAAAGATAGAGCTGCCATGTTGTTCAGTCGCCCGGTCGTGTCTGACTCTTTGCGACTCCATGGACTGCAGCACGCCATGGCTCACAGCCTCGTCCATCTCAGTGAAATGATGCGCCATGCCCTGTGGGGCCACCCAAGACGGATGGGTCATGGTGGGGAGTTCTGACAAAATGCTGCCCAGTGGAGAAGGGAATGGCAAACCACTTGCCTTGAGAACCCCATGAACAGCATGAAAAGTTACCATATGATCCAGCGACCCTACTTCTGGTCATATATCCAGACAAAACTCTAATTCAAAAAGATGCATGTTTGCAGCAGCACAATTCACAGTAGCCAAGACATGGAAACACCCTAAGTGTCCACTGACAGAGGAACGGATAAAGAAGATGTGGTACGTGTCTACAGTGGAATATTACTCAGCCGTGAAAAAGGATGAAATGATGCCATTTGTAGCAACACAGATCAACTAGAGATTATCACACTAAGTGAAGTAAGTCAGAAAGAGAAAGACAAACACCACATGATATCACGAATATGTGGAATCTAAAACATGACACAAATGAACCTACCTATGGCCCTGTGGTAAAGACTCCGCCTGCCGATGCAGGAGACGCAGGAGACGTAGGTTCCCTCCCTGGGCTGGGAAGATCCCCTGGAAAAGGAAATGGCAGTTCACTCTAGTATTCTTTCATGGAGCATCCCATGGACAAAGGAGCCTGGAGGGTTACAGTCCATGGGTCAGAGAGTAGGACATGACTGAGCGTGCACGTGATAACAACATAAAGGTAACAATGGCCAGGCTGCGCAGGGGAACGCCTGCACTGTCTCTTCAATAAAGGAGGGGAGCACGCGGGAGAGGGAAATCGGGGCTCCAGGCGCCCTTCTGTGTGGGTGAGGTCACCAGGCTGGTCCTGAGCTCTATGCAGTGACCCTGCCTCCCGGGGCCGGGGCGGGGGACGGGAGGGGGACACTGGGGGGAGGCCGATGTCCTCGGGAAGGCAGGCCGTTCAGAGGTTCCACCCGCTCTGCAGCCCCGATTGCCCGCTCTGGACCCTGCGGCTGCCTCGTGTCCGCCTGGGGTGAATGGCTTCACGCTGGGTGTGTTTCTTTGTGCCTGTGGGGACCCCGTGGTACCCCCTCACACGGGCCTCGTGGAGCCTGTGACAGACGAACGTGGGGGGTGCACAAGGACACGCGGGGCGGGCCGCTCAGCACAGGCGGTGCCCTTCACATGGAGCTGGGGTGTCCCCAACGTGGGAATGAGGGCTGACCTGAACTTCGCATTTATGGGGCAGGACAGAAGCAGGTGGACAATGTGCAAGAACAGACACAGAAGGCTCACCTCTGGCTGTCAGCAGCGGCATTTGCTTCCAGAGCGACATCAGAACTGCGGTCTGCTTCTCCTTCCTTCCCCCCAGCCCGGTCCTCCCAGCGCATGTCCTCCTCGGTGGTCCCTGGGATCACTTGGGCAGCTTTACCCCCGAAAACTGGGTGCCTGGGTCCGACTCCCAGAGAGTCTATCCTCCCGGGCCTGGGAATGGCGTGGGCACTGGGAGTGTTAAGCGCCGCCTGGAGAACCGCCCTCTGAGGCTGGGAGGCCCTGAGGATGAGCGGGAAGCTGAGCCCCTCCCGGCGGACCCCGGGAACACACAGCAGCTGGCGCGGGCGGGAAGGCGCTTGGGCTTCCTGAGCCGGTGGGACCCTCGCAAAGGGGCTGGAGTGCCTCCCCTGAGTCCAGTCTTCGGCTGGCCTGGAGCAGTCTCCCTCTTGGCACCTGTGGGGTCTTCAGAGGGCGAGCCGGGGGCAGGTGAGGGTGGCCACGTGTCCACTCCGGGGGATGCGGGCCCCATGCCGCCTGCCTCAGGCCCTGGCAACCTGGCCAGGCTGCTCCCAGCGCGCCTCTTCCTGGGAGAGCTCCAGCTGAGCCCCTCCGACCTCACAGGCCCCCAGCATCCACACCCGCCTCTCCAGGAGGGGCAGGGCCGCGTGGCCCCCACACGGTGCTGGGCTGGCCTTTTAGCCTTCCATCCTTCAGCCCTAGGACCCCCAAGTCGTTCCGTTCACACTCGCTGAAGAAAGGCACAGGTGCACAAGGAACAAAAAGACGCTTTTATTAAAAATTGTACCCATAGCACCTCTCTGTCTTCCTACAAGTGTTTTTGTTTTTAAAGGAGATCTAGTTTTCTGCACAATTCCAGAAAATGTGGCCGGGAAAAGTTCAGGATTGACCCAAGCCCCCAATAAACCGGCAGGTGAGGCTGACAGGGAACGAGGCGACCGGCTCAGTCCCAGGGTTACCCCCCACCAGATCCCACCTCTTGGACGGTCCACGCAGCAGAGATGCTGAGCCAGAGAGCTGCGTCTGGATATGCAGACTGCCGGCTCGCTGGGAGAAGAACTACGCTGTGTGCCAGGAATTTGTAAAAACCGAAAACCATGCTATGAACCATTAGAACCATTATGCAAACACCATGCGGCGGTCCGGTCGCATCAAGGGCAAGGGCAGCGTCACCAGGGCTTTGGGGAGAGTGCACCCCGCCCCCCGCGGTCTCGCCCGACGCTGTCCCACGGCTCATGTTCCTCCACGACGGTGTGTACCGAGGGCTACTTAAAAGCGTGGCTGGGGATAGGGAGGCCTCACTTTGGGCCGATTTATTCAGAGGGAGGAGGTGCAGGAGATCCAGGAGATGTGCTCCACAGCCGCTGGGTGCGGGGACTGTCCACGGCCCTGCCCTGTTGCTCACTGGCCTGGAAACCTGTTCCTGGGAGCCCCGGGCTGGGCGGGGGGGACCGAAGTCTGCGGAGGGGACGGGAGCCCCGGGAAAACCCATCTCTGCTACTCAGGCAGAGAGCGCGGCTGTGGTCCTCACGGGAAAGGGCAGCCCGCCTGCCCATCACCAGGCCTTGGATAGGGTCCCCCTCGAGGCCGAGTGCCTGACACCTGCAGGGCATCACTGCGGGAACAGGCAGGAGAGGACATGCCTCCTGCCTCCGTTAGAGAAATGGTGCCCGTCCTGGGTTCAGAACCAAGATTAAAATCCAACATCCATTTCCCTATCATGTGATTTTTTTTTTCCCTCCCTCAAGAGGAGAGGTTAGGAACCCACGCTTCTCAATGTCACACTGTCTGGAAGCTGAAATCTAACCAGAAACACCCAGCTCTCCCTTGGGTCCAGCAGCTCCCACGGCCCAGAGCCCCGGGGCCACTGGGCCAGGCACACGTGCCAATGCCGTGGCAGCCGTGAGCTGCAACCTCGGACACACGGTTCCGTCCCAAGGAAGCTGGCTCCGAGCAGAAAGAAGGAAGTATAACGAGCCTGGGGAAAAGGTGCTGCTGTTGCAGAAACCCCAGAGCAGGACACACACCTCAAACCGAACTGTCCTGGTGCCAGGACATTCCGGCACTCTCCCGCCCTAAAGCAAGGCTCCGTATGGCTTAGAGAGCAGAGCGCCAAGGCAGAGTGTGTCCATGTTCTCTGTCCACCGCTTGTCTCCCGAGAAACTCGAGGTGCAGCCTCACAGCTTCCTGTCCACTCCCCGTCTGGGGCCCGAGAGGACGGAGGCCGGCCTGTCCAGGGAGCTGGGGGGGTGAGTCTTTGCAGGGGAAGCTTTGGGCAGAGCATCCAGGATTTTTGGTTTAGAACGTTTCCCCTCCACGCAGAGCAGGAAGGAAGGAAAAGAGGGATGGAGGGAGGGGGCGGGGGGAGGGAAAGGAGCCTTTCCACACCCCCTGCCTCTACTTTTGGAGAAACTGAAAAGGGGTCTTTTACCCAACACAAAACTCTAAAGCAGAAAAGGGTTTTTTCTTCTCTCTTCTCACACAACACAAGCTTTTCTTGGTCTCCTGGGGTCACACCCAGCAACTCTGAAAGCAGAGGGTCAAGATGGCCCTCTGCCCTGAGGAGGCGGGAAGAGGGAAGGGGAGAGCCCACAGACCACACGACCCACGGCCGGGCCCTGAGACGGGCTCCCTGCTGGCGCTGGCCAGGCGCTGGCTCGGGGACAGGCCGGCCACGCAGGAGGACAGGCCGGCCACGCAGGAGGACAGGCCGGCCCTGCTCCCCTGTGCTGGGGGCGTGGACAGGCCCCCGCTGACCAGGCTGGACCTGCAGCCCTCCCTCAGGCCTGCGGGCACACCCTGGAAAATTCTAGACTGGGACCAGGGCTAGGGGCTCGACCACCTGCACCTCCCACACCTTTCACAAAGGTGATGTGAGGCACTGCAGGCGGAGCTACCGTTTGGACTCATTTTCAGAGCAGCTCGTGCTGCTTCCATTTAGCTAAAAATAAACGAAAACAAAACAGTAATGATTAAAGGGAAGAAAGGTTTCCAGAAAACCCGTTAAGGCTGAAAGCTGGCCTGGGGTCAGGGGACGGGACCGCAGCGCTGCGCCAAGGAAGGATGCGGCCACGCGCGGAAGGGCCTGGGGGGCACAGGGTGGGGTGGAGGGGACTGGGGACCCCGTCTTCTCAGAGCCTTCTGCTTTACTCGGAGACACCGTGGCTCTTTGTCTTTCCCGCGGACAAAGCCAAACAATGAATAGAAAGGCACCTGCAGACAGCTGAGACGCATTCATTTCATGTGACATATTTTAAAAAAAGATAAAAAGATTTAAAAAATACTCTGGTTAACAATGCACACCTCTTACACGACGAACGATTCTGCGGCCACTGTCTCCTTGGGGCGGGCCTGTGCTGTGTGCTCGGGAGGAGGGAGCTCAGGCGGGGGCAGGAGGTAGCTCCCAGCTGGGATGCTTCCTGCTGCTGTACGGTGGGGGTCAAAAGAAAGGACCGAAGTGGGAAAGCCCCGAGTATTTCACCCCTGGAATGAACCTTGGCCTCTGTCGCCCTGTTGCCAGGAACTGTGAAGCCGGCTCCTCGCCTAAAACTGCCCAGTGAGGACATTTCAGAGACGGATGCACGAGGTCGGGAGGCTCCGGGCCCAGGTCAGACACCTGCTCCTAGTGCCAGGAGACCCGGGCGGGTGCTAGTTCTCAGGCAGGAGGTAAAGCAGAGAGGGGAGAGGCCTGGAGGACCCCCATCCCCCTCTCCCCAGCCTTCCCAGGCCGCACGATGGAGAAGCCGGGCCCCCAGGGCTCAGGCCTTCCCAGCCCTTGCACCCAGTGAAACACACCTTCTCGTAAAAAGAAAAGAAAAACAAAGAAACCTGCTTCCTGCAGCGATGTTACAAAAAGCCAGTAAAAAAAAGTTCCTAATTGAAATCGTGTTCACAAAGGGGTGAAATCAACCATCAGCGTCAGATCCTCTCAACCCAGCTCGAGCCCAGTTCCGGGAGGTGATTGTCTCGACACGGCCGCGCGGGGCCGCCGCTCAGCTCACACGAAGGACGAGAAGCCGGTGAGCGGAGTCCGGGCGCCGCGGGCCGCGGGCGCGAACACGGCGCTCTGCGTGGTGACGACCGCGCGCGGGGCCGGCCCGGCCTCCGCCCCCGCCACCGCCTCGTACCTGTGCGGGGCCGCGCCCGCGCGCCGCTTCCACGAGTTGTAGTAGGTGGGGTCGCTCAGGTAGTGGTTGACGAACGAGTGCTGGGGCGGCGCGTCCTCGGACTCGGAGTCGGTGACCTGTGGGCGGACGGACGGACGGGGCGGGCTCAGCCGGACGGCCAGGGACGGGGGAGGCCCGGGGCTCGAGGAGGGCGCGGATGGGGGCTGACGTGGAGGGCATGGGGGTGGTCTTGAAGGGGCGGCCCCTGGAGGGAGGCGCGGCCCTGGAGAGTGGGGGTGTCGAGGAGGGAGGGGGCCACGGGGTGGGGGAGGGACACAGGGGGGCTGGGGGTGGCCACGGGCGGGGTGGGGGCCACGGGCAGCAGGGCTGAGCAGGGAGCAGGGGCGGCAGTCTAAGGCGCTCCCTTAGACTCCCTTTCCCCTCCTCCCCCCCCGCCCTGCCTCCCTCTCTCCCCACCACCTGGGTGTGGACCACCCCAGGGCCCAACTCCCGGAGACCGCGGAGAGCTCAGCGTGTCCACAGGAGCCAGCTCGTTGCTCCCAGAGGCTCTGCTCCCCCGTCCTCCTGGGGCCTGAGCTGGTCCCAGGACACGGATCCACTGCACTCTTGCTTCAGGGGAGTCTGCACTCCATCCCCTCCCGGGACAGCTCTACACCCCACCCCCTCCCGGGACAGCTCTACACCCCACCCCCTCCCGGGACATGTCTACACCCCACCCCCTCCCGGGACAGGCCTACACCACCATCCCCTCCCAGGACAGGCCTACACCCCACCCCCTCCCGGGACAGCTCTACACCCCACCCCCTCCCGGGACAGGCCTACACCCCCATCCCCTCCCGGGACAGCTCTACACCCCATCCCCTCCCGGGACAGGCCTACACCTCACCCCCTCCCGGGACAGCTCTACACCCCACCCCCTCCCGGGACAGCTCTACACCCCACCCCCTCCCGGGACAGGCCTACACCCCACCCCCTCCCGGGACAGCTCTACACCCCACCCCCTCCCGGGACAGGCCTACACCCCACCCCCTCCCGGGACAGGCCTACACCCCATCCCCTCCCGGGACAGCTCTACACCCCATCCCCTCCCGGGACAGCTCTACACCCCACCCCCTCCCGGGACAGCTCTACACCCCACCCCCTCCCGGGACAGCTCTACACCCCACCCCCTCCCGGGACAGCTCTACACCCCACCCCCTCCCGGGACAGCTCTACACCCCATCCCCTCCCGGGACAGGCCTACACCCCCATCCCCTCCCGGGACAGCTCTACACCCCATCCCCTCCCGGGACAGGCCTACACCCCACCCCCTCCCGGGACAGCTCTTACACCCCACCCCCTCCCGGGACAGCTCTTACACCCCACCCCCTCCCGGGACAGGCCTACACCCCATCCCCTCCCGGGACAGCTCTACACCCCATCCCCTCCCGGGACAGCTCTACACCCCATCCCCTCCCGGGACAGGCCTACACCCCACCCCCTCCCGGGACAGCTCTACACCCCATCCCCTCCCGGGACAGCTCTACACCCCACCCCCTCCCGGGACAGCTCTACACCCCACCCCCTCCCGGGACAGGCCTACACCCCACCCCCTCCCGGGACAGGTCTACACCCCACCCCCTCCCGGGACAGCTCTACACCCCACCCCCTCCCGGGACAGGCCTACACCCCACCCCCTCCCGGGACAGCTCTTACACCCCACCCCCTCCCGGGACAGCTCTACACCCCACCCCCTCCCAGGACAGGCCTACACCCCACTCCCTCCCGGGACAGCTCTACACCCCATCCCCTCCCGGGACAGCTCTACACCCCATCCCCTCCCGGGACAGGCCTACACCCCACCCCCTCCCGGGACAGCTCTACACCCCACCCCCTCCCGGGACAGCTCTACACCCCATCCCCTCCCGGGACAGGCCTACACCCCCATCCCCTCCCGGGACAGCTCTACACCCCATCCCCTCCCGGGACAGGCCTACACCCCATCCCCTCCCGGGACAGCTCTTACACCCCACCCCCTCCCGGGACAGCTCTACACCCCCATCCCCTCCCGGGACAGGCCTACACCCCATCCCCTCCCGGGACAGGCCTACACCCCATCCCCTCCCGGGACAGGCCTACACCCCATCCCCTCCCGGGACAGCTCTACACCCCATCCCCTCCCGGGACAGCTCTACACCCCATCCCCTCCCGGGACAGGCCTACACCCCACTCCCTCCCGGGACAGCTCTACACCCCCATCCCCTCCCGGGACAGGCCTACACCCCATCCCCTCCCGGGACAGCTCTACACCCCATCCCCTCCCGGGACAGCTCTACACCCCATCCCCTCCCGGGACAGGCCTACACCCCATCCCCTCCCGGGACAGCTCTACACCCCATCCCCTCCCGGGACAGCTCTACACCCCACCCCCTCCCGGGACAGGCCTACACCCCACTCCCTCCCGGGACAGCTCTACACCCCATCCCCTCCCGGGACAGCTCTACACCCCATCCCCTCCCGGGACAGGCCTACACCCCACCCCCTCCCGGGACAGCTCTTACACCCCACCCCCTCCCGGGACAGCTCTTACACCCCACCCCCTCCCGGGACAGCTCTACACCCCACCCCCTCCCAGGACAGGCCTACACCCCACTCCCTCCCGGGACAGCTCTACACCCCACCCCCTCCCGGGACAGGCCTACACCCCACCCCCTCCCGGGACAGGCCTACACCCCACCCCCTCCCGGGACAGGCCTACACCCCACCCCCTCCCGGGACAGCTCTACACCCCACCCCCTCCCGGGACAGGCCTACACCCCCATCCCCTCCCGGGACAGCTCTACACCCCACCCCCTCCCGGGACAGGCCTACACCCCCATCCCCTCCCGGGACAGCTCTACACCCCACCCCCTCCCGGGACAGGCCTACACCCCCACCCCCTCCCGGGACAGGCCTACACCCCACCCCCTCCCGGGACAGCTCTACACCCCACCCCCTCCCGGGACAGCTCTTACACCCCACCCCCTCCCGGGACAGCTCTACACCCCACCCCCTCCCGGGACAGCTCTACACCCCACCCCCTCCCGGGACAGGCCTACACCCCCATCCCCTCCCGGGACAGCTCTACACCCCACCCCCTCCCGGGACAGGCCTACACCCCCATCCCCTCCCGGGACAGGCCTACACCCCACCCCCTCCCGGGACAGGCCTACACCCCACCCCCTCCCGGGACAGCTCTACACCCCACCCCCTCCCGGGACAGCTCTACACCCCACCCCCTCCCGGGACAGCTCTTACACCCCATCCCCTACCGGGACAGCTCTACACCCCACCTCCTCCCGGGACAGCTCTACACCCCACCCCCTCCCGGGACAGGCCTACACCCCCATCCCCTCCCGGGACAGGCCTACACCCCACCCCCTCCCGGGACAGCTCTACACCCCACCCCCTCCCGGGACAGGCCTACACCCCACCCCCTCCCGGGACAGCTCTACACCCCACCCCCTCCCGGGACAGCTCTACACCCCACCCCCTCCGGGGACAGCTCTACACCCCCATCCCCTCCCGGGACAGGCCTACACCCCATCCCCTCCCGGGACAGCTCTTACACCCCATCCCCTCCCGGGACAGGCCTACACCCCCATCCCCTCCCGGGACAGGCCTACACCCCCATCCCCTCCCGGGACAGGCCTACACCCCATCCCCTCCCGGGACAGCTCTTACACCCCATCCCCTCCCGGGACAGGCCTACACCCCCATCCCCTCCCGGGACAGCTCTTACACCCCACCCCCTCCCGGGACAGGCCTACACCCCATCCCCTCCCGGGACAGCTCTTACACCCCATCCCCTCCCGGGACAGGCCTACACCCCCATCCCCTCCCGGGACAGCTCTACACCCCACCCCCTCCCGGGACAGCTCTACACCCCCATCCCCTCCCGGGACAGGCCTAAACCCCATCCCCTCCCGGGACAGGCCTACACCCCCATCCCCTCCCGGGACAGGCCTACACCCCACCCCCTCCCGGGACAGCTCTTACACCCCACCCCTTCCCGGGACAGCTCTACACCCCACCCCCTCCCGGGACAGCTCTACACCCCACCCCCTCCCGGGACAGGCCTACACCCCACCCCCTCCCGGGACAG